ACTACATGGCACCCCAAGCTTTGCCCCATCCTCTACCCGGTGCTAGCTTGGGCATGGGCATCCAGAACCAACAGAGCTTCTCCCTCTCAAGCCCTCCCGGCACCCATTGCTCATGTGAAGATCAAACTCAAGAGCCAACTTTCTTAGGGCCACCCAACTGGGCAGGAGCTGCCCAGGTCATGTCGCATTGGCCCTGTCCTGTCCTCCTGCACCCGCACAAGAGAAAAGGAGAATGAAGCCTGAGGCAGAACAGGGAAGGGCCTTACCTATGATGCCACCAACATCAAAGAGGGTAGACAGGTCCCCAGCCTGTTTGGCATTGAAATGAGCTATGCAAAACACAAATATGTGGTCAGACCTGGGGGCTCGGAGCAAACGTCCTGGAGTGCCACTGCCATAAGAACCCCTATAGAGCACCTGATTCGGTCCACTTCCTCCTTTTTCAGATGAAGGAGTGAAGACTCATGGGGAAGTCATTGGCCAGAGTCACAAGTAAATTTGCAGCACTTTTGGACTGGACACCCTTTCTGCCCCTCCATCCCATCCTGTAATTCCTTCTCCCCCTGCAGGTTGGCCTTGACCCCTTGGAAAAGCCTTCCCCTGAAAGCACTGGGATCTGGCCCATAAGAACCCTGTCCCACTGGGCCATTTTTACCCTGGGGACACAACTCTCACTGAGCCGCAGCTCAACCAGCCACATTCCTGCTCTGCTCCTGAACAACTGGCCTCCTCTGCCAGGAGCCTTCCCACCCATTTGAGACCTCTGCTAATAAACAGAGCCAGGAAGGAGACTCACAGGCAAATGGGGACCTCAGGTCTTAGCCCTTGTCCTAGGATTAGAAAAAGGAATGTCCAGAAGCTTGAGTTGTAGCTTAATCCTCAAGGTTGACTCATACAAGGCCACAAAACAAAGAGTCACAGTGTCCACGGAGCCACCCTGATGCTCTACTTCTATCTTTGAAAGAGGCCCTATGACAGGGCTGTTGGGCAAGATATGAGCTGGGATTTGGCCTTGCATAATCTGGCCTTGCAGCATCCCGTTCAGAGCAAGTACGGTGCATGTAAAGCAGACTTGGCCCTCCCACAGGGCTTGGAGGGAGCAGCAAAGCCCTGGAGCAGAGGGCCTCAGCCCTGCAGGGCTCTGCGGTCAGGGGCGGGGGAGAGGGGGCCCAGAGGAGGGCAGTGCAGCTGACCCAGGCATAAGCCATCCGTCCCAGGAGGCTCCCGGCAGCCCCTGGGGTGAGAAAAGCAGGCGGTGGGTAGCTCACTAGGCCCTCTCCTAGTTTGGGGGTTTGGGGAGGCATTCAAAGGCAGATCCTTCCTAGCACCATCTATCCACTCATCTGGGAGCCAAGCAGGCCTGAGGTGGGTGCTCCTGTACTTAAGGCTAGAGAAGTTAGGCAGGATTACAGAATAAAACTTGGGTGTTCCTAATCTCCAAGGAGGAGAGGTGGCTGGCATTGGGGTCTCTGAGGCCGTGTACAAGGTCTAACTTCCTACTTAACCAAATTTTTTTTTTTTTTTAGTCTCCTTTTGCCCTACGAGAGGTTCAGCAGACATCCTGCCCATACTCTGGAGTCACGCACATCCCATGACAGGTTTCCTCTCCCTGCCAGAGATGGCCTTGGCCTCCTCAGAGACCCCCATCCTCACCTCTTCTTCCCCTTTACTTACCCACATTGAAGATGTAGAGGGGCAGCCAGTAGAGGAAGGTGTAACTGACCAGCTTGGCAAAGAGCAGACACAAAGAGAACTCGACCACACCCTGGAGAGCATAACAGAAGGCATGAGGGAAGAGATACAAGAGATCCCTGGCCCAGGGTAGCCCCAGGGGCTGACTCAGCACCCCAGGGCTGCCACCAACTAGCCACAAAGCAACCTCAAGTACACCTCCATCCAATCCCAGTAAAAGCGATGTGCCTATGCTCCAGTGCTGTGTCAAGGCAAGCCTCCCATGTTACTCCCCCCAAGTTGGCTATTCACCCTAAGCATCTCATGTAAAGAAATTCTGGAAGCCATAGGTCACCCTGAGCATCCCCCTATCTCCTGACATCCAGCAGAGAAATCTAGAGAGCCTCTCTCTTCCCTCCATCCTGCAAGCTTCTCACCGGGATCCGGAGCGCCCCGAGGAAGCTGATGGCGGCAGGCTCCTTGGAGCATCTGGCGGGGGTCTCCAGGCTGCTCTCCTTGTTAGTGTACGGACCACTCCCAAGGTCCTCAGGGTTGTGCTGGTTCTCTTCCAACCCATCCTGAACAGAGATGAGCCCTTGCTGTGAGCACATTTGCATACCACCTCCCACCAGCTGGAGGTATAAGCCACGTGAGAGGTAGGGGTTCCCAGGCTGGAAGAGGTACGCGCTCCTCTCCTGGACTGAACTACCATCCGGCGAGGCCCGATCAGGCTGTCGGGGAGCCAACCTGAGGGCCTGACACTGAGCCCGTGAGGTAACCCACTGAGCTCGTGGGTACATGAGCCCCTCCTCCAACTCCCTAGTCCCCTCTGGGACCTGTCTCTGAGGATGGATTGGCAGGGTGGGGGTCGGGCTGGGGGCACTCACACTCGTGTGGTGCTGAGGAGGCGTGCAGTCCACATCTTCAGGGTCTGAAAAAAACAACCCGCTAAGAAGCTTCCTGGCGGGCCAGCCCCCGCTCCCTAAGGTGGCCAGTCTACTTCCCAGCACAAGAGAGCCTGCAACCCAGGCTCGAGAGACACATTCTAAGCGTGGCTCCCCTAACAACCACCTGGGTCACTACTGCCTTGTGGACTTCCGTTCTCTTGCTACAAAGTGGCCACCCTGCCCGGCCTAGCTCTGTCTCCGAAGGCTGTCAGGGAATGGGGAAGAGGACAGCGGATGGGGAGTGTCCCGTCACCCCCACTCTCCCCTTCTCACGCTTCAGAGTCAGCTGGCACTTGCCAAGCACAACTACAGGCCGTGCGTCCCAACTGTACGTCTCACTGACACCTTAACCAACCCCCAACCCTAGGAAGTAGATGCTATTATTCTTAATTTACAAATGAGAAAACTGAGGCCCAGAGAGGTTGTCTGTCCCGGGCCACATACAGGTCCTCCAGCTCCACGACCAGTAATCCTCCCCCTCGAGCCAGCTGCCTTCTCTCAGACCCCCAGAGGAGAAGAGGGAGGTTCAGTTCTGAGCCCTGTGGGGAGGGAGGGGTCCGCTCACATTCGATGAGGAAGAGGAAGGTGATGACACCCATAGCAGCGGTGATGATGCCAGGCACCACAAACGACAGGCCCCACTGCTCATTCACCCAGATGCCAGCGATCAGGGAGCCCAGGATGTTGCCCACAGATGTGTGTGAGTTCCAGATGCCCATGATAAGCCCCCGCCTGGAGGGGAGGGAGCAATGGCGGGGAAAGGAAAGGGAGGAGAGGAAAGAAAGGAAGAAAGGAAGAAAGGAAGAAAGGAAGAAAGAAAGAAAGAAAGAAAGAAAGAAAGAAAGAAAGAAAGAAAGAAA